TATCCCATATTTGGGATTTCTACCCGATTGTCAAGATTTTTAATTGTCGGGATTTTTGACTGTCGGGATTATGACCTATCGGGATTGTGCTTGTCGGGATTTTGACCGGCACCCATATTGCTGACGTGCTGATTAAATTTTGCTTATTGCAATTTTGAATTGAAGTCGACCCATACGGAATTTTTCTTACCTATTGTCTGGACTTAAGTTCCTCGCTCTGCTCCGGAAATTAGAGTAAGGGTTGGCTAGTGGTTAAGGTTAGAGTAAGGCTTATAAGTAAAATTGCCTTTCCGACATTTTTATTAGTGCTCCGAGGTAGGTTTAGACACTCGTTTTCTTTATTTTTTGTGTTTTCTTTGTTTTTGTCTCGTCGGGTAAATCAAAATTTATTATTTGATTGGCTGTTGATCACGTGAGCACAACTGGCTTTAGACGACCCCCTTTTTAGGAGGTTGTATTACCGGCACAAATAAGTAACGTACATGTCAATCAGAAATAAGTACAGTATACATAAACAGGAGGATCCTTACCCGGTGTGCAACATATAAATAAATTATTTTACAATACCAGATCATTCCGCTAGTACATGTTATGATTATAATCCAACACCATTTTATAACATGTAAACTATTTTTTTATATGTTGCACACCGGGTGAAGGATCAGTCGTGTAACATCGACGTTCCCTACATATGAAACAACGGTGGGAGATAAAAATTTCCTTTCTGGGTATTACGAGATTTTTTGAGTAGATCCTGTATAATAATACGTAGTACAACTAGTGCTCCTAACGGGTTTGATCTGAACGACCCTAAACTGATCTGGTTATAGTAAATTTAGTAAATGGGTCATGACCCATATAATAAATTTATTATAGCCAGATCAGTTTAGGGTCGTTCAGATCAAACCCGTTAGGAGCACTAAGTACAACATACCAGAAAAGGTTTATATTTTGCAAACGTACAAATAAAAAGAAATAAGGAGAAATCACGTTAATATATACACATACAACAAATACAGCAAGGATTACCAAGCCAAATTTATAAAGGGTTAACAAGCAAAATTATAAAAGGTTAATTAACGGTACACACACAACAAATGAATAATTATTTTTGAACCCGGGCCAAGTTTACATTTATGGCGTAATGACATTTTGATTCAATAATCACCCAAATACAGCAAGCCAATATTATAAAAGGTTAATAAGAATCCCCTCTAAAGATTTTACTTATATAAACTGTTTGTCTTGAATTGTTGTTTACAAGTAGACGAATTCACGCCTTATAATGACTCACATTTATATAAAACTTCTTTTTCTAGCTTTAGCTGCGAATATTTTTATATATATAACTTTTTTTTCAAATTACAATCGTCAACACGTGCAAATCTCAAATTCAACTCCAAATTCAAATGAATTTAATGCCTCAATTCCAAATTCAAATAAATATGAACATTTAACAAGATATGAAGAAAAATTTTTAACCTACCTTCCCCATGATGGTTTTAATAATCAGAGAGCTGAATTAGAAAATGCAATATTCTTGGCATGGTTTTTAAACAGAACTTTAATAATTCCACCTATTCTATATTTCACAGGAGTTACACCAATCATAGCACAACCATATGCTAAACTATATAATCTTTTATCACATTTTATGCGTCCCAACAATAATTTTAAAGAAAACAGATTTATATTCTGTTTTAGTGAAGATGAAACAGAAAGTAATTTTCGGGGCATAAAAGATATTCAACTCTTTGATACAAATTGCAGTACATGTTTTCAAGAAAATCAAAGGATTTGCAAATCCGTATCTTATACAATGTATAATTGGGAAAACTTAATGGATTTTTCATTTGTAAAAAAACATATAAAGTATATTCATCGACAAGATTTTAATTTTAGCCATTTAGTAAAGTCACTTAACATTGACCCTAATACTGAAGTGTATAATGTGTCCAGTGACGAATATCAATATCAAGAACAATATTATGATGACTCTAAAACAAAAACCAAGCTTGGCAAATATAAAAAACGGGTAAATTTAAAAACATTAAGTAAAAAACCCCAAAAACTAATGCATTTTGGAAATATATATGCACCGGGTAGAATTAGAAAAGGATTACAAACAAGTATAACCTTTTGGAATAGGTTAATTAAAAATATGTTACCAAACAATCCAATAATAATTAATGTCGTAAATAGAATTGTTGATAAAATTGGAGGAAAGAAAAGTTTTATTAGTGCTCATGCAAGGTTAGGAGATGGCTATTATGCCAAGAATCAAGACAAAATAGTACAAGAACACATCAAAAGAATTCAAGAAGATTTTAAAGATAACAACATCGGAAATAACAAAAATTATTTACTACCCGTAATATTTTTGGCAACAGATGTAAATCGTAATGACACTTCCCTCAAGCCTTTCTTTCAAGCTTTTCCACGTGTATATATGTTAGATGACTTTGCTGATTTATTGGAACCTTTGAAATTTTTAAAAAATCCCAATGATGGCATGATTATGTATGAATATTTAACACCCTTAGTAGATTTGTTGGTAATATCAAGGGGTAGCAAGCTTTATATATCATCCCATAGTACCTTTTCATATTATGCTGAACGATTAAATACAATTAGATGGTAATTTTAATTAACTATCCAAATCGATTTTTGGTAGATTAATCATTTCGAAATATAATTATTCACTCATAAAATTAGCTTTACTTTTGTGTAATCTGATCTTAATTATAGTTCTTTTTGTTAACTCGCAATATGCAATGCTGGTATCTACTTTTTTCTTGGTATAAAAACTAGGACATGATTTTGTGGAGACTTCGCTGCCTGAATTAAGAAGTTTAATTGGGAGCTTGTCAACGAAGTGACAGGGCGACCATTATTGTGAGATCAGATGACTTTATCACAGTCACATGAAAGTTTATTTGTGTTGGTAAATTGTTTTGAATTGAGGTTCAGTTTGTTTGAGCGGGCGCAGGTATTGGGGCTGGCATAGCAGGCGGGCTTGGTGTTGATGTAGGGGCGGCTTATGCAATTTTAAGATATTTAAAGGTTAATAATTAATGTAGAGGGTTATCTTTTTTCGCTATCGC